TTTTAAACTTGGAAATGTCAAATTGTGTCCAGTTTTTGAATTATTGTAGTTTAGTCCCCCAAGTCCCCCTAACATCAGATTGATGTTTCAAAAAACCCATAGCAGATATTCTTGTTAACACATGTGCATCTCATTTTTTAGATTTCTGAACAGCTTATTTTCTTCTTGTTGTTAGGGGAGGAATAGTGGATATATTATGCAAAGGATGCTGACTGTGGAGCTGCCAGGTTAGAGTAGTAGTGAAGAAGGACATGCAAAGGGTTGGGGTGACAGAATAGGTTGCAAGAAATAGGGTGGAGATGGAGGAAGATCCAATGTGGGAACCCTCTTAAAGGGGACTGCTGAAAGAAGAAGAGGAAGAAGAATGTAATGTAATAAAGAACGTGTAGAACCCAAAACGTGTTGCTTCTTCTTGTTGTGTAACAATATCCAATAGAAGGATCAAGACAAAGTAGAGTGGCATACTTTACAAATAAATGTTCATACACTGAGTGGATTAGGATGCTCTGGGTTAATTTAATAACTGCTGAACCAGCTACAGCAGCTAGAGCTTATGGGATGAGGTTTTAAAAACCCCATCTCATAGTAATAGAGATCTTTTACAACCATCAGGGGAAATTACTGCCAATTTCTTGGTGGTCCATGTAATTAACCCATGTCAGCTTTCTTAGACTCACAAAAGATGGAAAATAAACCCCGTGTAGACCCTAACCTTTCAATCTGGTGTCACATAAAGTGAAAGGGGGCTATTTAAAGGTGGACAGCATCCCTAATTTTTCCATGACAAAGCTGCTTTAAAATAATTTACTTCTAACAGTGAAGGGGAAAATAATTTTTTCTATTGATGAAAAAGTTTGTCTATAGATGGGAATTCATTATCTTCTCATGCTCTGGGAGGCTCAAGAGGGTGGATGTTTGTTGTTAATGGAGTCAAGCCTAAGTTAAAGTCTCCCCACTCACATCTTTTTGTGTATGAGTAGAGAATTGTCTTACTCCTTGTTCGAGCTCCTCACTAGAGGAAAGAGTACTGGTCATACTCGAACTCATTGAATGAAATGCCAATTGAAATTCTCTAATTTCAATAGCCTGAGTAACAGCACAGGCCAGTTAAGTGTAAGGACAGACTACATTTTCTACCTGATCTGAGCTGAAAAGCGACCACGTTTGATGATGACACGTTTGCCCAAAGACAACTGCATGCAAAATCATTGCCTAGAACAGGAGTGTCCCACTCCAGGCCTCAAGTGCCGGTGTCCTGCAGGTTTTAGATCTCACCCTGGGTCAACACACCTGAATCAAATGATTAGTTCATTACCAGGCCTCTGGAGAACTTCAAGACATGTTGAGGAGATAATTTAGCCATTTAAATCAGCTGTGTTGGATCAAGGACACATCTAAAACCTGGGGGACACCCTCGAGCCCTTGAGGCCTGGAGTTGGACACCCCTGGCCTAGAATGAGGTCAACACCCACTGCAGACAATGCAGGCTGAAATCCCCACAAAATAATAGAATCTGCTTCCAGTTTGTATTCTGGAAGCAAACACCATCTCTACTTTCAAGATCAGGCTTAAAACATTCCCTTTTGATAAAGCACGTAGTTAGGCCTGGATCCTTCCTTGTAAAGCAAGGTTTACACGATGCTTTACAAGATTTCGGGTGATCCCTGAAGCTTGCTTATTGTGTGGTAGCGACTATTCAAAACGTTTGTGTTAAATGTTTGAGTCAAATGTCCCCATGTTATTACTCAGTTATTTAGCACTAAATGGCTGAGTTGTTGTGTCTGCATTGCAACCACAATTTATGAAAGCAGCATGCTAACCAAGCTTGCTAGTATTAACTGATAAAGTAGCAGTCCACCCTTTCACCTATGTAAGGTTTCACTCACACAGGGCCAGAGCCCCACAGTTGTGGTGTTGTGCCAAAAACCTCCTTGTGCTAGAAGATTTGTTGCAGTCATCTGTAACTTTCATGAAGATGCTAACTTGTCTGCAGAAACTCACCAGCTACTCTCCAAGTGGTAGGCAATAATCTTCTGATGGAAAAACTAAATGCTGTAGCCTATCTCTGATCCACTGTTTTAAAAGCTGAGCTAATGCCATTAAAGAGCAAACACCAGTATCAGCAGCCATCATAATCTCATTTTCAATTTTAAACTTTTAATTCAATTCATTTTACGATAAAATGATTGAAATTGATTAAAAATGTTATGCACATCTTTTTTTTTTTTAAACAGATACAAGACCTTTCCCTATGCCATTACCAGGGGTACACTGACCAGTCACTAGACCTGTATGAATTGGAAATCACAGTAACTCTTAGCAACTTTCAGAAACCCCACACAATTTGTTGGGGAATACCTATTTTTGATTTTTTGATTGCATGATGTTCCTGGGACAGAGTGAGATGGAGGCAGATAATCTACTGTGACAACACCTAAAGGGACCATCTAGAAGGAAACACGAATAAAAAAGGCCCTCAGATTTTTATGTAAATTTTGTTTTGTCATTTCATTGAGCACGTTAAGAGCTGGAATACAAACTAACAAACACTGCATTTTCTTTAAATGGGATTGTGTGGGCAGCACGGTGGCACGGTGGTTAGCACTGTTGCCGCACAGCAAGAAGGTCCTGAGTTCAATTCCAACATCAGGCCGGGGTCTTTCTGTGTGGAGTTTGCATGTTCTCCCTGTGTTTGCGTGGGTTCCTTCCGGGTACTCCGGCTTCCTCCCACCGTCCAAAGACATGCAGCTTGTGGGGATAGGTTAATTGCATAATCCAAATTGTCACAATGTGCGAATGAATGTGAGTGCGAATGGTTGTCTGTCCCTGTGTGTTGGCCCTGCGACAGACTGGCGACCTGTCCAGGGTGTACCCCGCCTCTCGCCCTATGACAACTGGGATAGGCTCCAGCGCCCCCCGCGACCCTGAAAAGGATAAGCGGATGGATGGATGGGATTGTGACTATGGCAGGGGTAGGCCTTGCCTTCACTGTTTCAGTGAAGGGAGAGTTTTACTCGCTCTGTAACAGACACAGACTGAGGGAGGAGTAGCGGAATAAGAGAGAAATAAAAGACTGCAAAAGCAACATAGTCTGCAGTCTCTGCAACTCCCCTCCCCACCATGTCTGTTGAATTGTCAATCATTTTCTCAATGGAGCAGATGGAGCAGGACAGATGTTCCACTAGAGTATGGGAGTGCTTATTTGCCTGTGCGTGTCTGAGTGGAACACTGAAGGAGACATAGTGAATAAATTGAATCTGCAAGGAAAGTGGACCAAGGGGGAAAAGATAATAAAAGGAAACAAGAGCATTTTAAGACACCCGGTATAGATAACCTGCTAGCTCATGTTGGTGTAGTTCATTAAATGATCAGTAGGAGATCTAGTGCAAATTCTCCAAAAGAAATATAGATAATTGTGGTTGAAAGCACATTTATACAATAAATGCTACTTTAATTTTATAGCTATGGGTTTGTAGATTAAGATTGCACATATATGACCTAATAAATGTCATTTATAGAACAACTGATATAAACATGTTACCAGTTCATATGTGATAGATTACTATTTAAATGGCTCTTAACTATTTTTACTGAGCACTACAAAGCACTTTAAACACTACATGTCACATTCATCCACTCATACCACACAAATTCATGCAGCACTTTAATTCCATGCCTTTAATTGCTTTTTCACTATACGCCCAGACGATTATAATGGATACACTGGGTGCAATTTAGGAACACTGGAAGCCTGCAGACTGGAAGAGCTAGGGATCAAACTGCTGACCTTCATTAGAAGTATTAGTAGATTACTAAATGGCCCGTTCTATCACCTGAGCCCTAATTTGCATGTAAATAACATGAAATGCTAGCTAAAGTCACTCTAATTTATGTGGGGTTTTTTTTTTATTTCAGTCTACTGTTATTTGTTATCTTCTTTGTGTATTTGAATGTGAAAATGGCATTGAAAAGATAAGTTGCTTTTTTTTAAATAAATAAAAAAACACCACCCAACAAGCTAGAAAAATGCTGTTAATGGTAAACAAATAATAGTTCAATAATAAAACATTCAGTCATATGAAAGTACTGCTAATGTGCAGAATATACTATTAAATCTCTGCCAGAAAGCACAATTTTGGAAGAGAGAGTAATTATTTGACCTCAAGTAAGCTGTTGCATTCTAAGGAGAGTTTACAGCAACTAAGTGTAGACTGCTTGAATGGGAAATATTATCTTTTTTATTGTTGTTTTTTTTGTTGTTGTTATTTTTTACACAGTGTATTACGTTCGTTACAAGGCAGCAACAAAGGCTGAATCTTTTCATTCAAAAAAAGTTACTGAAACCAGCAGCGGGCGGAAATGTGAGACGCCGCAACAGCAGCACCATGGCCAGCGCCTGGCCGAGGCAGTGACAGCGGATCCTTGCTCCATTTTGGATGCAAACGGTGTTTTACAGGAAAAGCGGAAAGGGGAGAGATGTGGTGGCCAAGCGCTCTCTTTGAATAAAATACGCCTGCCCTGGTCTCAGCCTCCCACTGCCGCTGTCGGGCTTGCGACTCAGAAAAAGTAACAAAGAAAAATAATGATTCTATGTCAAAACGTATTTCCTCACTCGATGTCATGTTGCAAACCAAAATAAGATAAGTCCTTTCAGTAAAATTCCGTTGGTTTGTTTTTTTATTCAAGCAGGCAAAGTTAAGCTAGCTTGCGCTCATAAAGTCTACAATAAATGTAGCAGCTGCGATAAGACAGATAAAAAGGAAAACTGAATATTGAAAATGTCGATAATAATTCGCCTTTAGGCGTGTATCAGCTAAAAGTACGAGCTGTGTTTACTCTGTGCTAACTTAACTAAAGCCTACTCGTGAAATGATGCGTCTAACCACACTGGAAGGTGTTACAGTAATCCGTTACTTCTCCGCCTCGCCTCTAACATCTCTACGTTTGCTGCTTTGTCTGCGCATCCTTGTGGGTTCTCCCTTCGCAGTGTCGGTGCTACGCCTCTCAGCCATTGGCCTCAGAGACCATCCGTCTTCCCTTCACAACAATAGACCCCTGCTCGCTCGCTCGCACGCACGCACGCGCGCCTTCTGCTCACGCGCAGACACAAAAAGCGCGCAGTGCTTTCGAGGAGTGACGGTGAAATGTTTAAACTGCGGTTTGCCGATTCTTTCTTTCTTTCTAGCTTCACGTCGGCGAGGAGCGCAGAGAAGCCTCTGCGATGCGCTCAACGGGGGACACGTCGGAGTTGAAATAAGGGAAACATTGGGGCTTGGGTAAGAAAACCGGAAAGCGGTTTGTTGGGGCTTTTTTTTTTTTTACGAGGATGACTGACTGGTGACAAAGAATACGGGGAGCCCCTCTGGCTTCGGTTGACATCCGCTATATAACTTTACGGAAGACATTTTTGTGGGGACCGGTGTGCTCTTACTTGGACAGACAAAGATTTTTTTTCTTCCATCATTATTATTATTATTTTTGGAAGGGGAACCATGCCTGTCCGGAGGGGTCATGTTGCGCCACAAAACACATTTTTGGGAGTAATTATTCGGAAATTCGAAGGACAAAGTAAGTAGATTTCCTGGGTGTCAGGTACTGTGTGGGTGCACTGTGCTGTGCTGCTTGTCTTTTGTGTCTGTCCCGCTGCTCCTCGAGATCAGTTATTGTTAGGAATAGGCCTTCTTTTATACACCAGCAAGGCTTTGGATGGCTAACCCTGTGATGTTAATGCCAGAAATCCATGAAAGTCATTATGAGTCAATTACCATACTGTGTGATCGCGCACCAGGTTTGTTTAGTTCTGGTGTCCTTCTCCTTTTCTCCTGCTCCGGTGGGAAATGTAGTTTAAAATGCTGCATGTGATATACACGGATTAAAGGATTAACGTAATTAATTACAGATTATATCCCCCATATATGAATTTAGCTAATTACGCTTTTAAAAATGGGTTTCAGTTATGCCTCAAATCTGGTTTTTACAACTCAAAAATGTGCATCAGTTGTCTCCACATTGTTGTTTTAAAAAAATGTCAAATTTAACGCCACCTCGTTAATAGAAAGTGGAGTATTTAAGCCTACTAAGGATTTACTGAACATGCTTATTGTCTAGAGCAATCCCACCTACATGTGAAGTTTCATAATTTTATTCAGTCAGCTGAGTAGCATTCAGGACTGTAATTCTGGATAATCCCATACAAACCAATACACCTACTTGTATTAGTTAAATAAAACATTTGTTATACTTTTTCATATTCTTATTTATGTGCAAATAGTTTAAAATTACATCTATAAACACGGTAACACTCTTTCTCCCCCAATTTCTTCTCTGCCTCGTCACAGATAAGAAATTCATCATAGCCAATGCCCGGGTGCAGAACTGCGCTATTATCTACTGTAATGATGGTTTCTGCGAGATGACGGGCTTTTCCAGGCCAGATGTAATGCAGAAGCCATGCACTTGTGACTTCTTGCATGGCCAGTTCACCAGTCGGCACGCTGTGGCCCAGGTGGCCCAGGCACTGCTGGGGTCCGAGGAGCGCAAAGTGGAGATCACCTACCACCGCAAGGATGGTGAGTGTTGCAAGGTTCAGGTGACACATGCAGAACTTGACATAAGGCTGCTGCAATAGTCTGACATTGAAATCCACACTGGCTGGAAAGCTGCTTATGTTTTGACTTTATGTTGTGATCCCTGTTATACCTTTCGATGTAAAGAAATTGCTTAAAATAATACAGTTTTTAAATCTAGTGTTACAGTGTTTGAATTTGAATAGATTTTGTGCTGCTATCTGCAAGGAAAGCCTGTAGATGAAGAAAAAATATGTGAAGGGTGACTTGTACAACATCTGCCAGTGTAGGTACATTTAGTGTGTAATTTTTAGTTCTGAATCAGTTCTAGCTGGAGCATTTTGCAGCAGCAAATCACTAAGTGCACCCATTTAGAACCCTGAGGGGGGAAAAGAGCAACTGTTAAAGTTTTGTCTCCCATGATGTCCAGTTTTGAAATGATGTATGCACTGAATGACTGGGAAAAGGTGTTCATTAGCCTTCGCCGGATAGGACATTCCGGGAAGGATGTAGCTCAGCTCCCTTAAGACCAATGTGAAGATAGTCAAGCGTGCGATTTCTCTCTTTCTGTTCTTGCCATCTCTCGGTTTCTCCTCAGTTTACTGAACACATATGTCACTCTTCATTCTGCTACTTTACATTTTCCAGTGTAAGCCTCCATAGGTGTGGCAGTTGTCTGTAAATGATGGGATCTGTATCACTCATCTATGATTAAGATGATGTAGCATGCATATGCTAATTCATGACTTGACAGCTGGGATAGTTTTGATGAAATACAAAGTTAGCTCCAAAGTGAAAGTTTAACTGTTTGATTCACATCAACTGTGTTGGTTCAGGGAGAGTTCGTGTGCTGTCCTCTAATCGTGGCATATGTATTCAGATGATTAAGTCTCCTTGCGTAACACTTAAGGACCAGTAAAGTTGCACTGTGATTCAAACAAGGATTAATAGTTTTGTAAGAACTTTGTAGGGAGGATCCCCATGTGGTTGTGTGTTTTAGGAATTGTTTATTTTTTTGTCTTGAGCTCAGGGATCATTCTACAGCATTTCTTATGACTTTTAAGAGTTGGCTACAACATCAAGTAATAATACTTGTATCAATATGTAATGACCAACGACCTATAGGGCCAGTATCTGCTTCGGAACAGGATGAGCACTGCCAGAGCCCTACAAAATGACCTCCAGCAGGCCCCTAGCATGAATGTCTCTGACCAAACAATCAGAAACAGAGTTCACGAAGGTGGCCTGAGGGCCCAACATCCTCTAGTAACATTGTTCAGCATGACCGGTTGGGTGGTGGGTCAGTGATGGTTTAAGGAGGCATATACACGGAGAGACACACAGACCTCTACAGGTTCAGCAACAGCACCCAAACTGCCATTAGGTATCAGGATGAAGGCCTTGGACCCATTGTCAAACCCTATGCTGGTTCTGGGTTCTTCCTGGTGAACAAGAATATCTGGCTTCATATGATGAGAGTATGCAGGCAGTTCTTGGAGGATGAAGGAACTGATACCACTGACTGACCTCCACACTTACCTGACCTAATGCCAATACAACCCCTCTGGGACATTATGTTTGGGTTCATCCAACATCGCCAGGTTGCACCTCAGATTGTCCAGGGGCTCAGGAATGCCCTAGTCCGTATCTGGATCCCCCAGAACACAATCTATCGTCTCACTGGAAGCATGCCCTAACATTGTCAGGCATGCATACAAGGATGTGGGGGCCATACAAGAGTACTATTTTGACTTGCTTCAACAAAATCTATTCAAAATGGACAAAATCTATTGTTTATTAAACAACACTTTTTGGCTTTTGTCTGGAAAAACAAAAGCTAAAAAGACTGTCTTCAATTACATTATACTTTGAATGGGACCATACTTTAACATCCAAAGGAGTCTTTGCAGATTTTTAACTTTGCCTCAGGTCATCTTCAATGAGGCAGTTTCCAATTAACATGCCTGCACTTCTCGAGTTTGTTTACACATTTAAGTTGATCGTGCGTTTCTGTGAAAAGCTTTGGACTTCAGGCGCTGTAGTTGAAATCCTCAAATTGATTGTACTTTTGCAGTTTTCAGTCATTTGTTCCCATGTATTCAAATTCAAAATGGGGGGGGGGGCTTTATTTTGAAATAAATGCAGCTTTTACAAAATGGTGTTATATCTCTGCTTTTGAAATGACATTTTTTCAGGGACAGTGAAACAACATCCCGTCAGGAGGATTTGTTTTGACGCTTGATGTGTAATCGGCGCTGTGGTTCAATCAGGATGACGCATGCTTCAAAGACTGAGCTTTTTTTTGTTTGTTAGTGTGAGTATGATTGTGTATGTAATGTATAAGAAAATCCAGACCAAAAGAAGGTGATGTAGATTAGGTCAAAAGCAGCTTATGGAGCAGTCACAAAGACATAGATGTTTGTGGTCAGAGGTTAAAAGAAAGTGATAAAGATAGAGAAAAATTCTTGAGGGAATAGGCAGAGAGGAGATGTCAGCCCATGTTTTTAAGAAAAGTGTTGTGCTACAGCCTGAACCTGTAACACCTTTCAATATAAAATCTAGCTTTGTGTTATATTGGCCTTGCTGAGCTTTTTGTAAATGTTGCATCAGTAATGCTACATTTTCCCTTTGCTTATCTAAATGGTTTTGTTCTATATTATATTTATAATTATATTTTACATTCTGAAACCATAAAGTCCATTTCAGATTTTTTATTGATTGCATGAGAACTTTATTTTTTTGTCAGAGAATTTCTGCACCCTTTTTGTGTAATAAATGTGAGTTATTGAACACCTAGCATGAACTCCAGGCCTCGAGGGGCAGTGTCCTGCAGGTTTTAGATAACACCCAGGGTCAACACACCTGAATCACATGATTAGTTCATTACCAGGCTTCTGGAGAACTTCAAGACATGCTGAGGAGGTCATTAAGCCATTTAAATCAGCTGTGTTGGATCAAGGACACATCTAAAACCTGCAGGACACCGGGCCCGAGGCCTGGAGTTCGACACCTGTGACATAGAGGATTCATAGTTAAAAGTCCTGTCTTCCTTCTCTCATCCCTAACGGTCGCGGCAGATGGCTGCCCTTCCCTGAGCCTGGTTCTGCTGGAGATTTCTTCCTGTTAAAAGGGAGTTTTTCCTTCCCACCGTCACCAAAGTGCTTGCTCATAGAGGGTCATATAATTTATGGGTTTTTCTCTCTATATATAATTGTAAGGTCTGCCTTACAATATACTTTGATACTGGTCTGCATTTCACAAGTTTGCGTGAAGCTGATTTAAGTGTATATTTTTTAGCCTATATTTTCACTACAGTGGATCAGAGTCGGTCCTCCTGTGCTTAGTGTATGCGTAACACTAGCTGAACACGAGTTCAGCTAGTGCACTGGCCAGAACGAGCTTCCCTGGCATCAGCAATATGACTTACATTATTGTTGCCACTGTCACCAAAATTAGCTGGGGTGTGATTAACAAACTGCCAATATTTTGAGTTGTCTGTCCGTCCAGACGTTTACCAGTTGGAAAGATTTTATGAGACAGCCACACTATTCACTATTCTACTCTTCTTTGCATGTCCATTGTGGCACATTTTAAATTGGTAACATTCTTTCATAATGGAATTTTCTTTTAATACTTAAAGGATTAAAGTAACTGACCATTAGGAGTCTAATGCTCCTCTAGGCCAGTTTGTCAGCTAAGACAAGCTGGACGTTCAGCGTCCATTGATCTGCTGGGCAAACAGTATTAACGATTACACAAATACCTGCATGTTGCATTGATCTCTGAAAACAGTGTATTGGAGAGTGCAAATCAGTCGTGGCCAAACATCCGCCCTCTGTTGGCCCATCCACAGGAGATCTAAAGTGAAATTGGACAGTTTGTTAATAATAACAATGTTCATTGGATTTAGACTGTTGGGCCCTACAGCAAGGGAAATGCCTTATTACTATTCTGTATCCTGGTTCCTAATTACCACAGTGTTTTCCTCTTACCTGAGTCAGAGTTTCTCCAGGGAAGGTCATACACCTGTTTCAACTTGGCAGACTGCTGTTAAACATCCTGCTTGTATTAGGATAAGCAAGTATGGGTACATGTATTCATACATGTAAATCATCTTTTCTTTTGAATTTATATAAATATATTTTTAGCTTTTTATGTAATCTGGTATGTTTGCAGATATGTTTAACCATTTATAATCTTTGACTGCAAAACATTCTTGTGATCACACTGTTAATACAAATGTGCTGAAGCAGGCAGCTCCATTTGTAAAAAATACACATATTATTGTGTCTTTACACAATAATATGTCTTTGATACAGTCTAGCAATGGATAAAGTCATGTAACTGAAGCACGGTTGTTTGTCAGTGATGGACAACAATTAGAATTTCTTTTAAAAAATGCACCAGCTGTCTTGAGTGGTGCTGCAGTGAAAAAAATCCAGAAAAATCAGGTTTAGCAACTCCCAGATTTATACATTTATGAGAATAGATTTAGATGTAACAGCCAGCAATCAGAGAGCCTTCAGCCTCTGTCTCTATTGTCTTCTGTATTAGGATTTTAGGAGAAATGTCATTGCAGCAGATCTCATTGTGGTGCTCTGTAGGAGTTTCCTCAAGCCAACCTTCTTTTTAATCCCAGGATCCTAGGTCGATATAAGCACATTGCCCAATGCCCTTTACAGTCCATGAAGGAGATTCTGCTCATCAGCACAATCTCTGGCACATTGTTAATGCTTTATGATTTTTGCGTTCACTGGACCACTGGTCCTTTTTCCTTTCAGTGTATCTGACTTCTGTCATTAAAGTGGAAATTGTTTCCAACTGCTGGGGAAAGTAATTGTAAATAGTGTGCTGAAGATACGCAGTAGTAATACAAAATATGCATTCGGTAATGTATTTCATGAGTTTAATATGTAAAGTGTGTTAAATACAGACAATTCACGCAAAATAGTTAAAAGATTGAAAGAAATTAGCCAATAATTGTTCTGACAATTATTTTAACA